GTCTCAGTGGAATTACAATGACCAGCTAGTTCAAGAAAATTTCCTGAATTGGGGTTCAGGTGAGATGGAGGTCAAATATGCACTTATTTTTTATATATTAAAAAAGCGTTATTACAAATATTATCACTATGTAAAGAATGAGTCAAAGTGTCTTGAATAACATATCCCAGGAATATAGTAGATTTAGTGTCATTGTTCTTTTCTGTAACTTTGTATTATATTCTGTGGTAATAGTTTTTATTAAGAACTATGCCGTTTATAGTAAACCATTTAGTAAGACTATAGTCTATATAGTAGGTATACCTACATATATTTTAGATAGAACATGTATTTTAGATTAAACAAAACGGCATTCGGTGAGTTAATCAAAGGTGACACAAGTAACATTTGTGTACACATAACAATTGTTATGGAATTGTCAAAACTCGGAAAAGCGACATGGTAGAGTGTGGAGGTGCGTCTGGAAAGTTAGCAGCAATATTCCATTTCCGCGTGGGCGCGCCTACAGTCAGCTGCGCTTCGGTGACATTGCCAAGCACAGAAGTGACACAAGTTTCTGTTTCAACTACATTAAAAATATAAAGTTGAAACCGTTAGTATGAGATAATCTCAAATCGTAATTTAATCAATCGATGAATTTTTTTTTATGTTAAATATTCGCATTTTTTGTACCGGCTCATACAATATTTAAAATTGTTGCACGTCAAAATCTGTTTAGCATTTTTTTTATTTTGTTGCCGTGGTAAGAAAAGTCGTCATAACTAATCGGAAGGTGTTCTCGACTGTAAAGCACTTGTATTCGCGACTGTACAAAGATAATAGGCAAACTTTGAACATAGCTGCGTATTGTTCAATAACTTTAAATCTACATGTGTTTAGTAAGTTATTTGATTATACTTTCGACTTGTTTGGTATTTGGAAGGAATTTCAACATTTCCATTTACACAGCTTAGAAATTGATACGATTTTAATTGTCACTTGTAGGTTAGTTTGTTTCTAATCACGAGTTCAAACTTTTTAAAATGCTTAAAATTACAATATCGTTATCACATAGGTATATCATAACCATCCGTGTATATCTACCCACTATGCCAATGTATCTAAATATAAAATATCTACAGCGTCCTCACATTAGGCGTACAGGTAATAAAATTTGAAATAATCCAAGTTTATGAGCCGGGCGGCCGGGTGCGCAGGCGCATGGGAGGGGATGTCGCACGGCCCCGCCCCCCGCGCTAATTGCGCCAATCTGCGGGACGCGCACACACGCACACACGCACCGTGTACACGCACAACAAATTCTAGCTTACCAAGATTCATTCATTGCAATCATCGACGTCAGTTTTCTCTTTTGAAAATTGTTTAAAGGTCTTAATTTAATATTGGAGTTTGCGATAGATGGTAAAATTGATTATATTTTTTTTAAATCGACATTTTTAAAACGTAATTAAATTAACATAAAGTATGAACGAACTAGAATTACCTACCACTCTTATGCAACCCATTTGACACGTATCAAATAAAACTCTCAGACCGAATGCAACAGGACATGTCCACTGCGGTCTGTAGGACAGTCAATCTCCACAAGAATAGACGACAAAATTAAGAACACGGCAAAAAGGAAAGCAGAACAAGTTAATTGACGTTAGTTAGCAGGCAGGCGGTTACCCTCATTCTCGTCTCTTTTACCCACGATCCACTGTTTTACCGACATTTTTACTGTTTTACCATCCGAGCTGGTAATTGAAAAATATTCATTAGCCTCCGTCTAGTGCTGCAAACTTGTAGCCAGTGAAATAAAAACAGAAATGAACATCGTTAAAGAGCTCTACAACCCGTATTTGTTTTTTACATAATGAAATTGATTTTTTCATTATTTGTAAATTACCTATGCAGTTTCATTGAATTTATACTTTATGTTTCCACATCTTTTAATTTCTTAAATAAAACGTGTCTGCTAAATACCACCTCCTGAAAAATCGAAATTAAAGATGTGCAACAAGAACATAGAAAAATTCGTAAGGTCTGCTATAGTCGTAATCTTGATACAAGTTTTTATTGAAACATATGTTTTACACATAAATAGGTATAAAAACAGGCATGCAATTTCATATCAAGCTAAGTATTGTATTTTGTATTTGAAGGTATGTAAAAATCATTTTATAAATTTATATTTCATTAAACAGAAATCTAAAGATTGTTTGCATTTAGTTAAGTACCTAAACAAATCGTTATGGTTCGTTCCGTGTAGTGTGTAATTTTTTCTTAGTGTTCGAACTTTGTATTAATAATTATAACAAACTAGTGGAGAAATTTCACAAAAATAATAGAATATCATGGTTGTCAAACATAGTAAAATTGAATAAACTTAAAAACTACTACATCCTGAACTTTGTATTGGACACGTTGAGAACAATGATTTCAAGTACTCAATAGCGTAACAATCCAATAAAATATCCATGATAGCATAATTTCAATTTTAAGTCATTGTTTTAAAGGTGAACACATGCGAGATTGGTGGAAGCATGGATTGCCCAATGAGTGTGAAATTGCATTGATCCGATACCCGTGTTGAATAATGCGTTCGTTTTCAGCCTGTTACGATACCATTGAAATGCGGTTTTTTATTCCATCACGACTGAGAAAAAGAAATACATCCTTTCTGTGAGCGTCTCATTGAATTACACGTTTGTTTTTATATAATGTGTGGATCTGAATAGGCCAATTTGAATTGATTTACTATGGCTGTTAACTTTTAGTGTCTTATATTTCATTTTTAAGTAGAGTTGCCATAAAGAAACGAAGAGCCACAGAGATGTACTATATAATCCAGTAATAAGTAACCGGCCAGCACTCATTTATTTTATTAATTTATTTACTTATTTTTGGGACTAGACTTAGGATTTAGACATGAATTAAATATAATAATGTTGAAACAGTGACACAGATACTTATACCGAATTGTGCCTCTTTTAAAGGTCACTAAGGCATGCAAACGTGGACACGACAGAAAAAAAAACAAGTTGATCCAGTGAAATTAAAAAAAAACTATTAAATAACTATATTTTTTTCTTATATATAACGAGACATTAAAGTACACCTAAAATAAATAATACCACGAACACAAAATCCAACTCAAGGTGTAAAATTTCAGTAGAATCCACACGTTTAGTGAAGATAAAAAATGAAATAAAAATTACTATAAAACTGATCCAGAATGAAATAAATAATTTTGTTTTCGTCATCAATCGTAATAGGGCGCTATAAATTATAGTAGCGTGTCAAAGTGAACCCTATCGAGTTACATGGACGCTTAGAATCTTTGGGAGATATTTAAGTTAAAGCCATTTAAATTCGTTGTGAACAAAAACTTTGCTGTAGTATCTATTTACTTGTTCGGTTTGATAACTGTAAGGCAATTACTGATTATTGTTTAATAAGTAGCTATGTACGAACGGTAGATTATTCGCGACGGCGTGTTAATATTTCAAACTTCTACATTTAACTTCTGCGTTGATAAACATAAACTACATCAAGGACACAAATCTTTAGATATCAACATTTTTAAAATTTTAATAGTTTTTAACTACTTCATTTTACGCAATAAAAGAGCTATATAACATAGCTAGGTCAGCCATATTGTTTGGAGATATACGTAAAACTACAAGAAACAAATATATGCTACATGTAGGATAGGATAGGCAGTGGACAAGTGAATAGCTCTGACATGGGCCGTAAAGCTGGCGGCCAGGTGAAAACGATCCGCGTTGTCATCGTAGCCACTTTATGGGCCTTCCGAGCGCTTTATAATGCGTTTTATAACTCTTCGCCACTCTCGCAACCACACTTTAAACGCGCCGATCCCAAGACATTTTTAAAAAAACCAACAAGTCACCTCGTAACGAACAACCCATACTTGCGATGGCATTTCATAAAATTAAACGAGTAAAAAAAGAAGACATAACATTAATTAATGTTTTTTCATATCTCGTTTTGAAAATCAATGTCTGGGGTAATTTTATATGTGAGCAGTACCTAATCGTGCCGCCGTATGACAAAATTTACCAGATTTAGATGTAATCAGAGTGACAAGAAGCCGCTTCGAAGCACCAGTATCGCCCTGATAATTTAGTGGGTACAAACACCAAACTACACAAGATTGGGCTCGATCCGGTCCTCGCCCGGGACGCCCATAAACTACGATACGTAACGGCTGTGAACGCGACGAAATCAATTCCCAGTTCCGATTCCGAGAAGTGACACAGTTTCACGAGTGTCACATCACTACCGACGCACCGCTAAATAAATTGTGTGTCTGGCCCGCCGCATGCCAATCTAGGCCCTAACGACCCCGCTCTACGAACGCTCATCCAAATGAGCAGTTAAAATATAAAGAAGAGCCACCTGTCCCCGAGAAAAACTTTATAGCCTCCATAAAATTTAAACCTCAGAAAAAAGTACGGACAAAGTTTTTTTCCTTTTAAGGATCCATTTTAGATCGTGTTTACCTAAGCTGTCACCTTAGAGAATGGCGATTTTGACTGGTTGGGTCTGCTGAATTAATTGTGGAGTTTCGAAGAGATATCACCTGATGTGCGATAAGCGCGACAGACGGCTGCCTGTGCCACCGTCAGTCCGGCAATTTGCTTAAACACTGACAGCTTCGGTCGCGGAATTAGAGGGCCGTTCAATGTAATTGTTATATATCCAGTTCTGTGAAAAAGTTTGAGACTAACAGAATTTAATGATAAATATGGCTTAATCAATTAACATATCTGCCTTCTTATACAGAGTTTTCTGAGGTTATATTTGCCTACCTGCCTATAGATCGCACTAATAAGTAAGTGTATTCAGTATTTTAAGTAAAATCTTTTTAGGATTACGGAATTTTGGTCTACCGAGCGAGACCAATGGTGAAAAGGAAACCATTACAAATTCAACTTGTCCATTTGTAAGAAAAGTATAAGCATTAAAGTATACAAAATTAATGTTGAACTTACCATGCGAGCTGACGGCGGCCGAATAGGAGGGGTGCATTTGTTGATGGTAGTAGCGGGCGCGGCTGTGGTGTCCGCCCTCGAGCGGCGAGTGGAAGAAGCCCTCGCCGTTGGCGTCCGCGGTGGCGTCGCCGGCGGCCGGGCTGCCGTTCACACGGCTCTCGTACCACCGCTGCTGCAGCGCGCCCGCCGCTCCGCCACCCGCGCCGCCCTCTCCGCTCATGTCCATGTCCGCTCCCCTCTCACACACCATGCATCGCTTTTATAAACACACACTCTGAGTCCACTGCCCTATCCGCATTTCAGTCTCACGCGTTTGAATTATACCAATAGAGAGGTTAGTCTCATCGTTTATTCACTAATAACTTAGCCTTGCCCAGTTCATACTGATCGAATCTGGAAAAAAAGATCCAAATTTTAGTCACGAATGAGTATAATTATGTACATGGAAATAACCCCTACAATAAAAAACACCCAAAAAATCCCTATTAGTACCTAATGATAAATAGACTTATCAATTTTCGCAACATCAAAGTAAAATAAATCCGCCGTTTTGTCAAAAACGAGACAATCAATTAAGATAATAGTTGTGGTATCGTAAGGCGAGATATCGTTACGCTCCTGATTTGATTACCGATACGAGAACACTCGATACCGTCGATAAGCGATAACGCGCATTAGTTAGCTAAGCGCCCGTGATTTTTATGGCCGCTACAACTGCTAAAGATACCAATATCGAGAAATCTGTCAATCATTTAATACTAAATATCAAGATGGACCTATAAATACTGTCACAGTAAATAAGTAAATATTCCTAATTAGTACTAAACAAATCTGCGTAGCTTTCCATAAACAGACTTCAAAAATGTAACATGCAATTGATTCTTTGATCATTTGTTTTGCACGAATTTACTTTGATTTCATTTAAAGATAGTGTATAGTTTATCTTATCTGTAAATTTTGTTGTATTTAACGATGAACAATTTCAGTGCACGTGCGGTATAACTAAAGAAATGAAAATAAACCAATTAAAACTCTCTATGAAATTAGAAATCAGTCATAAAACGATGCGATTTGAAATATATTCCTTGTGTCTGAATAAAGATATTAGCTCGTCAGAACACAGCAAAAGAACTTGCAGTACTTGATAAATACGATCTCAACTAAATATAAAGACGGATACGAAACGGTGCTTATTCGGACAGTAGTCCAAATAGATTAACATATTAAAACAATCTTACATGTTCTCCAAAAAAAAAAAACCAGTAGAAGCTAGTGAACATAATAAATTTATTATTTATAATTTTTTAAGTAAATACTATAAAAACGCTAACTAGTTAGTATTAAACCTTGATACGAATTGCAAAAAAATAGGTTGTTATTGCGTTGATAAAAGTTATCTTTTTTAGTAACGGTTGTGGACTCCGCAATGTATAAAACTCTTCAATTTCTGTCGGCATTATGAACAGATTACAAAATCACTTGATAAAGAATATAATTACAAATTAAATAATAAAAAAATAGCCATTTTTAATTTTGTCATTTCTCATTATTAATCATCATTAAGATATCACACGCCGATAATATTGATTGACCTTCGATCTTAAGAATTAGATTAAACACGTATTTCCAATATGAGTGTTATTCAATTCCTTACAATCATTAAATTGTAATAAAAATTGCCTCATTACCTATAATTAAACAAAGTAAAAAATTTGAACATACTGTCATTCCACTGTAGTGCTGATCACGGACCTCATCTAACAAGTAGAATTAGTTTACAGATATAATGTCAACTAAATACCTATTTAGCAATATTTGTGGAAGATTAAAGATACAAGACTCGAATTTACAGTGAAAAAATCCAATTAAATATGTATCGATTTAGCCTCTAATGTTAGCAATAGAACGGGTACGGCGGCTGTTTTGAATTTGGAATGCGCATTCTATGCTGGGTGAGAAAGTTTCAAAATGGCCACTTAAAGACATAACGTTTTCCCGCGAAAAAATGTCAAATACTAAACTATTGACGAAAAATAACAACCTAAGATCTAACAGTAGGGCCAGTGCCAATTAGAAGCCTGTCCGGAAGAACGAAAAATTTTACTACAACCTGCATGCTTGGCGACGGGTAAACAGATTTATTTTTCGAATTGTTCTTGTAGCTATTTACCGTAAACACGATGTTCGAGGTGATAAATAAATATGTATACTTAATGGGATATGGACAATTTTTTCTACATTTCTATATAAATAAATAAAACAGACATGTAAATGTATAAGTCAGCCATGACTATAGGACCTGTAAAGAGCCTAAAACGTTAGTTTTTTTGAAAAAACAAATATGTGTGATTTACATTCGAAAAAATAGTTTCATTTCCAATATGTAGCACTCGCAACATCAATTTATATTTATAACTTCGGTGATCTTAGCTAAATACTCATATGTCACAATAAAATATGGAACATGAAAATCAAAATAACGCTCAAAAAGATAAAGACAAAATCAATCATGCTAAACGAAGTGGCTTTATCTGAAGCACCCAAACTTCCTAGTAGCTCTGTCATTTCTATATCTATACGAAGATAAAGAAATACGTGACCTATCTAATGCGTTGACGTACTGCTCTATTTTTTTTAATAACCTATGTTGTCCCCTGCACACATACGTTAAAAAATGTCACAAATCTTAATTTTCGTGTCCATAAGATTTGTAATATTTAGACATTCTGAAGAGAATTATAGACTGACTCAATCATCGACAATAATCAAATAGATAACTTTAAAGAAGATAATTTATAATCATTGAAATTAAAATCGAAATCTAAATTATTCTGACACGGTGCAAGTATAATTAATTATTCAATTAATTGCCCTAATTTAGTGTAATGGCATTAGTTATTTGCTTATGCATTTATTTTAAAAAATATGACACAAAGAAAAAAAATCATTTTGAACGTTTTGTAAAATCAACAGGATAATAAATCATTATACAAAAAAGAATTTGTAATTAAGTGTTAGATATCTTAAGATGGCAAAGAGTAGATGCCAATCTTAAGATATGAAAACCAAACAAAATGTTTGAAAATTTAAAAAAAATAAGTTATTTTACAAAGTGAAATCAGAGTTTGATTTTATTTACCTTTTCAAATGACAGAACATACAAATAAAGATATTACGCAACATTTCACACACTAAAACGGATAATAGACTATATAAATAAAATAGATCAGACAAACGATTGAAAATCTCACCAGTAGCAATCGATAAGATGAAAATCTCGGCTGCAGATAAACAGAGGCTATATGGTATTAAAATATTAACGTGTTGATCCACTATCACAACCTGCCGAGCCGCTATCGGCCGATCGACTGAATAGGATTTGCAGATAAAGTAAATACAAAAAAATATCGCAAATTACGTCTATTTGACGTGATTTGTTCAATATGTAGATAAAAAAAAGATAATATTTGCCAAATTTCACATTTGTGACACATCTAATAAAAAAATTTGGTACGTACCTAAGTATTACATGTTTGCGCATTTCGAAAAATGAATTGAACTGAATTTAGTGTTTTCTAGTCCTGAATTGTATAAAATCTACATAAATTTGCATTTTCATAGTAATCCAAAGTATAAATAATAAGTATGTGGTCTTACAAAAGGTAGTTACATATTTTTGAAATTAAGAACCATATAGATATTTTTTCAATTGCCTTATGAAATTAAAGGATTAATGGATGTTCATTGTTTCGTGTTTAATCTTCAGAATTGTTGGTTTTCTTTTTTGTGCAAACATAATGCGCATGCAGGAATTTAATCTTCTCTTTTGCTCTTTCAAACACGCTTTCCACAATATTTACGTATCAATTCCACGGGCAAAAACATATTTACTTGAAAACGTACCTTATTTCTATGTTCTGTAAAAGAATTTCAAGCTCAACAATGTATAGCAGTTTTTTTTGTATTATTGAATACCACGATGTTTTTACTACCATGATCATCATTATATGCAACCCATCTATATGTCCTACTACTGGGCACGGGTCTCCTCTCAGGGGGAAGTTTAGGCCATCGTCCGCCACGCACCATTTCTTTTTACATAAGGTCGACGAACTAACTAATACACGAGTATTTTGTCTAAAGTATTAATCACATAATGTCGTAACTGTTAAAAATATCATGAGTCCAAAAATACATTCCCAATTACTTCAAGCATTTCACAGGCCATCATTGTGATATTGTAGAGCGTACACAATGCATTCTTAAGTTGAGCACCGATTATTAACTTTATTTGCTCCTCAACGCAGCTCCATCGATCGACGATATGAACAGTGAGCGATGCGCATGCGCATGTTAAAGCATGTGTTTTTTATAATAGTTACATGCTACAAATTAACATCCAATCGCATCGTTTAAACGTTAAACACATTTATTACAGAAATATACAAATATTCTTGCAAATGACATTAATTTACAACTTCCAATCTATATTGGTGAAGTGTTTTAACATTAGTCATAAAGATTTAATTACAAAAAAACAGACCTACCCATCTAGATAGACACACCTATTTCCGTAACGAGGTAACCTTCCAATCGATAGTTTTTTAGATCATCCTATCGACCGATGCATCGGCGCTATCAGTCATACCTAACCTTTGCGATCGCGATCAAAATCCATTGATATGCGCAGTAGCAACGATCGCCGTAATAAATCATCGCTGATCGTTACAGTATTACGATAAAAATTCTCTGCAATGTGCAGTTAAGGTTTAAAATCCACTTATCGTCGTGGATTACACTTTTATTTAACGACTTTCTAAATAGGTTTCGTTTCATGATAATTTACTATAGAATAATAACTAACAATAATAACATGACAATTCCCAATCTGCATCAGCAAGTGTGGCGTGCTATATTAAACCCTAAAACCTTGTCCTAGAGGAGACCCATGCACAACAATGGGACATTTGTTACTGCATGTTCCCTCATATAAAGTGCATGAAACAAATTACGTCCTATGTGAAATTTTATAACTTTCTTATTTAAGCATAAAAAGCTTCTTTAGTAAAATCTTTAAACATTAACATTATTTGATCTCAAAGATATGAATGTGCACTCTTTTCAATTAACGACATTTTTTTATGTATGATATATATATTAATTGTTGCGTCTATATTAGTTGATCTACAGATAAATTATAAATGAACTGCATTCAACACTAACAAGTAACACTATCATTATGTTTAAGCATACTAAATTAGTATTTGGTATTCAAATAATATTTAATTTTTTTTTATTATTAGTCTTTTCTTGTAACGATTTCCAGAAGTCGATTAGTTCTCGTTTCTGAACACGTTTTCAGGTCAAATTACATTATAATTAATATAAAATTA